AACAAAAACTTTTTTATCCACTTTTTTATCTTTATAATTTTTGAAAGCAAGGTAAGTAATTTAACTTCTTGAAGAAAATTTACAAAGAGGATTGACTGCAGTTAGCCGTGTTTGTTTTTAATCTAATATGTTTACAACACTATACAATTTCTTAGTCCAGATCTGCACTTTCACATGACAGCTTTTCATTGCTTAGCAAGTAAAGGGGAATTAAGCAGGAGAAAACAGGGTTAGAGAACTACATGACAGTAGATTGTGAGCCAGGGTTCTCTTTGTTGTCAGATATTTAGTGAATTTATGGAATACATATCCATATATATGTGGATCAGTAAGAATTGATAATCATAGCTATGATAAATTAGAAAGGAGAGACACAAGAATATAATGTGTATGAATATGAATAAGATAAAGAGTTTGTGGAAGAAAAGTTTTTAAATTTTTAATTTTTGGTAAATGCAGTTGAGTGAGATCTTTGTATTAATCAAAAGAGAATAAAAGACAATTTTTGTAAACAGTATTTCAGTAAGTAATGCATATGCTAAGAGGAGTTTTTCATCGATATTTGTCTTACTTTTTTGTAGTTATGAGGATTAACCCCTCACCCACTCAAACTCTCTGCAGAAGAAAAACATGAGTGAATATTATTCTGTTGATTATAAATACCCAAGACTTAAGAATAAAAGAACTTAATGTTGTGATATCACTTACTTAAGGTTTAGGATACAGTAGTCCAAATTTAGTGAAAACTTTAGACTCCCATATCTTCTTTCTTTCTTTTTTCTTCTCTTTATATTTCTTTTCTTTTCTTTTTCTCTTCTCTCTCTCTCTCTCTCTCTCTCTCTCTCTCTCTCTCTCTCTCTCTCTCTCTCTCTCTCTCTCTCTCTCTCTCTCTCTCTCTCTCTCTCTCTCTCTCTCCCTCCCTCTCTCTCCCTCTCTCTCTCTCTCTCCCTCCCTCCCTCCCTCTCTCTCTCTCTCTCCCCCTCCCTCTCTCTCTCCCTCTCTCCCTCTCTCCCTCTCTCTCTCTCCCTCCATCTCTCCCTCTCTCCCTCTCTCTCCCCCTCTCTCTCTCTCCCCCTCTCCCTCTCCCCCTCTCTCACTCTCTCTCTCTCTCTCTCTCTCTCTCTCTCTCTCTCTCTCTCTCTCTCTCTCTCTCTCTCTCTCTCTCTCTCTCTCTCTCTCTCTCTCTCTCTCTCCCCCTCCCTCCCTCCCTCTCCCTCTCTCTCTCTCCCCCTCTCCCTCTCCCTCTCCCTCTCCCTCTCCCTCTCCCCCCCCTCTCCCTCTCCCCCCCCCCCTCTCTCTCTCTCTCTCTCTCTCTCTCTCTCTCTCTCTCTCTCTCTCTCTCTCTCTCTCTCTCTCTCTCTCTCTCTCTCTCTCTCTCTCTCTCTCTTTTTTTTTACTGTAAATTCTGTTAATTAATGTTAGAAATATTTTACAGTAACAAAAGATCAATCACATTACTTAGAATTATAGTAAATATCAGTGACAGTCAAAAGAAGAGTCAGTTCATGACAAGGAGATGGAGACAGCAAGTACTAGAGAAATCAAACAGGATAGAGGTTATCATGTTGTTATGCGTTTGTCTCCCGTTTTCTTGGTTTCCTTGGTATGAGAAGTTTAGGGTACTCTTGATGAAAATTGTCCCTGGATGTTTCAATTGAGATTTGTTTTTTGTGTTTATCATCACCATTGTTTTTATCGGTGTTTTGTTTTGGTGCATATCTTGTTGATAGGAAGCAGGAAAGTGTTTCGTAGTACTTTATTTATTTTATTTATTTATTTATTTATTTATTTATTTATTTATTTATTTATTTTTTATTATTTTTTTTGTTTTGTTTTGTTTGTTTGTTTGTTTGTTTGTTTGTTCGTTCTCCAGTACATGGAGGTCAGGTACGTTAAGACACCTCGGCAACTCTGTTAGGCAGCATGTCAGTATTTCATAAATAGTAATATTATTTGCTATTCGTCTTAAAGAAAAAAAGGAAAATAAAAAGTGGCAGAGTAACACAGTGAGGCTCCCCCCCCCCCCCCCACGACATCCATTCCCACTCCTACTCCCATTCTCTACTTTTCCCTCTCTCCTTCTCTCCCTCTTCTTCTACCCATATCCCCTGTAGTCAGGTACAGCCGACAAGAAATAAGAAGGAGCAAACAAAAAAAAAAATCACCCTACCATCTGTTTTTCTCCCAATTCCAGCTTTACCCCCCCCCCCCCCCCCCTCAACATTTCCTCTCCCAACAATTTCAATAATTTACTCCCGATAAAAGAACGTAGACGAAAATGAAATAATTAAAAACGGTCGTAGAGGAGTGGCTCCCCCTCCCCTCTTCCCTAGCCCCCCCCCCCCTTCCCCCCGATGCCGCACCCTCAAGGTCACGCGGAAAAGAAAACGGGAATTCGAGGAGGTGGAGAGAAAACGGGAAAATTCCGAGCGCGTTCGCAGCCGCACGAAAAGTCGCATTCGTTTGCGAGTTTTAACGGTTGAATAGAATTTGAATGTTTTTAGGAAGACTTAAAGCGATTTTTGCATGGTGGCGATGGTTTCACGAAGGGAGAGCGGATAATTTAGCTCCGTCTGGAGGTCGGAATCGAACTCGGACGCAGCGAGACTCCCGAACGGTGCGTTGTTTTCGATGTTGTTTTTCTTCCACGTAAGTCCTGGTCGGCGTGCGGTTTCGGGGCGTTTTCCCCCTCTTTCCAACCCCCGGAGACCCCCGAGAGCGAGGCGGCAGTGAGGGGCCCTTGGCGGGAGTCGGGGGGCTGGAGGAGAAGTAGGAAATGAAGGATAAATAAGGGAGGAATGAAGGAGGAGGAGGAGCGAGGGGTAGGGGGGTGGGAGGGGAGGAGGTGTGTTGGCGTAGGCCTATGTGGCGTGGATTTCGGGTTTGGCCTGCTGTTTTCCTTTTCATTTGGCGTGGGACTCTGCATGTCGGTTCTTAGAGAGTGAGGAGACTCCACAAAGCAGCATTGGGGCTCGATTTGCTCTGAAGACTCGCGGCCTGTCTTGAGAAAGAGTCGCGAGGAGGAGCCCAGGGCTTGGGCCATTTGCTGCTTTGTTGCTTTGTAATGCTCGCTTTCCCTTGTTTTTCGGTAATTGGCTTTTAGGCTTTTGATTGACTCCGGTTTTTGGTCTTGTTTGGCTAACTTTAAAAGCCAACTTACTGAGATTTCTTTGTGAGTTACAGCAGTGATAATTTTGTGATTTTGAACCAGTGTGAAATGTTTGATTATCAGCAAGCATTTATTCATTCGGTATTTGTTACTGAGAGTGACGCACCCTCCAGAGATGAAGTCCCTATACCAGGCTATCATGCAAACCCGAAATTCCAAATCTAATCTTTCCTACCTTCTATTTATTTCCTAGACAGGGAGCAAGCCCCCTGTATACCCCCATTATCAGCCCTATGTGCCAAATTGTAGAAAAGCAACATTAAGATCTCTGGCTGTGAGATGGTGTTGTGGACTTCGTCTCTGAGCAGCGACATGCAGCGCTGATTTACATAATTTCACTCTACGCTCTACAAGATGGCATTGTCCATTTCCTTATACCTTTGTTTATTGTTCTCAGTAGCTTTATCCATATATTTATTGTAGCTGTTACATGAGTTAAAAAATATGTAACTGGCATCCTTTGTTTTCCTGGATTTCATTAATCCAATAATTGACTTGGGTGTATGACAAAACCTCTTGCTTCTCCTGCATATTTTTGGTGCCTAAACATTTTGCCGAACGTGGTATTTAGGAGAGGGAGATATCTCTTCCAGTGGTTCTTAGAAGGTGGACAGTTTCCCTCGTGTTCAGAAAGGTCGGCATGGGCAATGCTTATTCAGTTACGCTCTTCTCTTTGATTCTGAAATACATGTTCAAGGATTTGGTGCTTTGCTTTTTCATTTTGCTCAAGCATAATATGACTCGGATAGATTTCTTTTGTAGATTATGCTTGCCTGTAATGTGTTTGCAGACTGTTATCAGTTTTAATTTAGTGTACAATTTCAGTGTAATACAATCACTAAAATGGATTGATGAATGATATCATTTTGTAAAGATTCAATTTATAATAAAGAATGGAAGTGAGCGTGTGAGAGGGAGTGATAAAATGGATTAGATATTTTTTAATCTTTTCTTTATTAACTGAAATCTTTCATGATTATTTTTACTTTTTATGGTAATTATCCAGACTAAGACATGAAAGATATATATATGAAAATAAAACCACTGCAAGATTGAAATATAATTTTAAGAAAGCAAAAGTAATTTCAATAACTTGTGAAAAGTCAACACACTTGGTATTGCCTATTCCACTCCTCCCATAATGGTAGTGGTATCAAAGTCCCATGTGCTATATTCTAGCAAGATAACCTTTCTCTTTATTAGATGTCAAATCAACAAGAATCAAGAGTCCTACTATAATCTAAGTGAAGAAAAATAAGCAGTTATCAGAGAATGAGAAGTGGTGGCTTATTAGTGGTTGATGTGGTCCTATTCTAGATAATTGCTGTTATTTTAAGTATTTATTTATTTATCTCAATTTCTTCCCCTTTCCTCCCTCTTAACCCTCTTGTATTAATATGGAGATAGAGGTAAGGGTAGACAAAAAGGAATTCTTTTTGTAAAGTTGTATTTACAGAACAGTAAAGATTGGATGGTTTCTGAAAGCTTAGCAGTTGAAGCATGGAGATATTTTGTTTTTGCAATTGTTTGGTATGCCTTCATGGCTTTCATGAAAGATAAATTCTATACTTAGAATAATGCTTTATGGGAAAAAATAAAAAGCCCATGTAGGGCCTTGTGAAGCTGTGTTGCTGTGAATTATACTCTTGTGTAATGGCTAATGACATGTATGTAGTAGAAGACAATAATAATATGAAAATACCAAATGAGGCAATTATAAGAATGTTACACATGCATGCATGCACATGTGTGTTTGTTTAACTACTATTTCTACATTTTTCCTTGAAGATCTTTGAGAATTCTCTACAAATCAGTTTATTTTCCCACTCAGGTTGGAGTGCATTACATGAGGCTTGCAATCGAGGCTTCTACGGAGTGTCAAAGTTGTTGATTGAAGCGGGGGCAGACGTAGATGCCAAGGGACTTGACAACGACACTCCACTACACGATGCATGCGTCAACAATCACTTTAAGGCAAGTCTTAGTCTTATCCTTTTCCTTTTTCTTGTAAATTCTGATTGTTTTTCCCCAGGCATTGTTTTTTGTAGGGGGAAAAATAATCTCTTTAACTTCCCTTTTATTCAAGTCATTTAAAAATTTGACCGTGAATATATTTTCCCTCATCTTGTCTCTTTTTTGTGTATATGTGATCATTATTTTATTTAATTATGTATTCAATAGTTAGTTATTACCCTCACTGTTTACCTTGCAGCTGGTGCGCTTATTGTTAAGGTGTGGGGCTGGAGTAAATGTGGTGAACCGTCGTGGCAAGACCCCCCGTGACGTGTGCCGTTCCCCAGGCATTGTGGCGCTGATCGAGGCAGCGGCACGCGGCCAGCTCCAGGACCTGGGAACATCTTCAGGGGACGAGCTCACACCACAACAGAAAGGTGGGTGTCCAGGGGAGGGGGAGGGGGAGGGAGAGGCCAGAGGCGGAGTGAATGGCTTGCGCTGAAGTTGGGTCTCTGGCCGTCGACTTTCTTTTGCTTTCGCTTCTTCTTTCTGGCTTTATTCTTCCACAATTTCATTTTGTTTGTGTATGTTTATTTCTGTTGGTGCACTTTTATTTTTGTTTGCTTGTTTTTATTTTATTTATTTTTGTTTTATTTATTTATATATTTTTGTGTTATTTATTTATTTATTTATTTATTTGTTTATTTGTTTATTTTCTTTGTTTTTTTATGTATTTTTAATTTTTTTATTTTTTTTTATTTATATATTTGTTATTTGGGCAGATAGGCACTTTGTTTTTATTTATTACTCGCGTATATTTATCTTTTTGTTTTGCTTTATTTTGGGAAACTGGTAAGAGCCAGTTGTGCTGTGCTGTACTGTTGCTTCTATTGCTTTTCTTGGAACTTTATGCAAAACGTATGAAAAGGATTTGTCTTATCTTATAAGTTCTCATCAGATGTGCTTGAATGATGATTTTTGAATGATTTCTGAACACAATTAACCCATTGGATCCAGATGCTTCGCTGCCATCACATGGGCCAAAATATGGGCAATAGACTTAATTGTGCGGCCACTCTGATGTGTGTGGCTTGTAGGCCAGGTGCACATGAACATTTGTGTGCAGTGACAAGACTTCATGCCTCCCCTTTGCAATGTTATTTTCTCTTTTTCTGCATAATGATTTTAGCTTTTTGCCCTTTGCCCAGATGGTAGGAGACTTGCTTGCATAGGCTCCATATCATCCTTTTAGATAGTCTATAATAATAACTATAACTTATAATAATATTAACAAAAACTAACACTGTTTTTGTCTTTTATTTTTTCATAATTCAAATTTCTGTAATACAACCTGCACCACTGGTCAGGGCAGGTAGATAAAGGATCCTGAGCCTGGAAACAGCATCCTGGACCAGCTCTTTCCTAAATACGCATTGAGTCTCATCACCCTCCAAGAGCTTTGTGCACTCAAAAAGTGTTTCCTGTCACCTTGGCCTTCAGCTGAAATTTTCATTGACGGCAGGTTTTCGTCACCCCAGCTCTCAAGCCAGATTATCCCATGACAACATGTTCATGCCACTCGCCCCTCAAGACAAATTATTTCGTGACATAATGGTCACATCATCTGGATTGTAAGGGTTAAAGGCAATTCAGGCTTTTTCAGGAAGCTGCTGTTCCATGTACTGTCCACTGTAGTTTTGTTTTGTGGATTTTGTTTGCACATATGGCTCCTCCTGTGCTTAGTCACCAAGGAAATTATCAGTAGGAATGACTGACCTCACCAGATGTCCCCTTTCTTTGTCAGTTTTGTTTAGATTCTCCCCCACCCTCACTACTATTGATGTTATTATTATTATTATTTTTATTATTCATTACTTTATATCATAGAAATAGAGCTTACTGAAAATCAAGCCAAAGGTAAATAACTAAAATCACATAGGACTTGTAACTGAGTCCTTGTTGATTAAGCATTTATAGAGCCATCTATGTGTATAGAAGATTGCTAAGACAGAAATCACAGTGGATATGGCATGTTTTTACATGCCTTTCTGGTGCCATTTGGTAGCATATATTTAAGGGAAAAAAGTTACTCCTAAGTTCAATAAAAATGGTCCAATTCCCCAACCTCAGGCAGTAGTTGTACAAGCATGTCGAGGCGGACTCCTCCTGCTAACAAATCTAATGAGGAAAAGCCTGGTGGTGGTAGTAGTGGCGGAGGCGGCCCTGGGTCTCCAAGAGTGACACTGCGACTGCCCAACACCGTCACACGCACGCCAGAGAAGCCACCTCGCCCACATGACAACAAGTAAGGGCTAAGGGACTTCGGATGTTTGACGGGAGTGTCGTTGGGGGAGGGGGGATATTTTATTTTTTTAGATGGTTCTTCTAGTCTGGATGCGAAGATTATGGAGATTGTCATGCATCTGCGGAATATATTTAAGGCTAAAAAAAATATGTATATAAAAAATAAGTATGGACTTATAAAGTCAGTAATAAATAACAACGTAAATTAGATATCAGCTCAGATAGCCACATGAGACTTGAGTCAACTAGGCACAAGACGAGCCACATACAATTTTTCTCTGGCCTCCAGGGCAGTGATGGAGAACAGCGAGGACGTGTACGAATTCAAATGCAGCAAGGACGAGGCACGGGGTGGGGAGGAGGAGGAAGACAAGAGCGCGGGGGGTGGAAATAACCGGACGGAAGGGGGAACGGGAGGGGGGCCACCAGAGGAAAAGGCAGACAAAAGGGGGAGGGAGCCTGATGCAGAGGAGGATGAGGAGGCACGCAAGAAGAGGAAGAAGGAGGACACCAAGGAGGGGGCCAAGGGGGTTGGGAGGGGGGCCAACAGACCAGCAGGTGAGTGTGTCTTTCAAGGGCTAATCTCTCTCTCTCTCTCTCTCTCTCTCTCTCTCTCTCTCTCTCTCTCTCTCTCTCTCTCTCTCTCTCTCTCTCTCTCTCTCTCTCTCTTTTTGGTAGTTTTTGAGAAAGTGCCAAGTTAGTGAAAGTCTCACTAAAGAATTGTTCACATCTTTAACTTCCATAAATGCAATTAAATATTTACAGGAAACTCTGAGAAAGGAGTGAAGTCAGGAGGTCGGGGCAACAGCAGCGCCAGCAGTGGGGTTGGGGGGACCAAGCAGTGCACGGCAGGGGCAGGCATGGCGTCAGGGGAGCGCAAGAGCCCCATGGGTTCAGCAGCCAACAGCCCTAAACCGCCAAGTACCAAGACTGGGGGGGAGAGCAGCGACACGGAGGATGACGGCAAGAGCGAGTCGAGCTCTGGCGCTGGCCCCAAGGTACCCCCCCTTAAGATTGTGCTTGGGGGAGGCACAGAGCAAGAGCCCAACACCAGGAATGGCAAGAGTTCTAGCAACCGCCTGCCTTATGTAGTCAACACCAGCTCAGGGGAGGAGAAAGAGGGCACTGGAGATTCCAAAGAGGGCATTACAGCAGTCAAGGTGTGTTTCAGGTGTTGTTGGATTTAAAGATTTTCTGCTTTTCTCTCTCTCTCTCTCTCTCTCTCTCTCTCTCTCTCTCTCTCTCTCTCTCTCTCTCTCTCTCTCTCTCTCTCTCTCTCTCTCTCTCTGTATATATATATATATATATATATATATATATATATATATATATATATATATATATATATATATATTCCCTCTCCTCTCTCCTTTCTCTCTCCTTTCTCTCTCTTAAATAAATGTTCTTATTAGTCCACAATGATAATATGACTGACTAGGAACTGGCAGCAGAATTGAGACTCGTCTCCCCACCCAGATGGAGGACCAAGGGAATTCCAACAGCAATGGCAGCAGCACGGGGAGTGAGAAGGGAAGCGGAACAAGGATAACGCGGTCCCAGAGAGGTGGAGGAAGCAGTGGAGGTGGAGGTGGAAACTCTAGCTCGGCTGAAGAGTCAACAACAGGTAAAGACAGTTTTAGGCTGTCTCTTACAAATTTGGGAAGAGCACAGTTTTAGGCATTTTCCACAAAGAATTATATTTTTTGCATATTGCTCTAAAGACCAGTAGTGCCCTCATGCTTGTTGATCTGCCACCTTAATAGATTCTGATCAAACATTGACATTCAAAATATTTTATTCCATACTGGTGAAAGTGATTTCTGAAATTTGAGAGTTTCTAAAGGTATTTCAGTTGGAAGATAACTTGATAACTTGTGGAAGATGAACAAAAAATGTAAAATGAAATGTAAAGATTATGGTAGCATTAGCAGCCGCTCAGCTTTTCCTAGATCATCTTAGACAGCTCGTTAGTTGTGTGTCCCACAGTGAAAGCGGAGGTGAAGGTGGAAGAGTCCACAATCTCTTCCACTTCCCCTGATGCTGTTCATCCACGAAAGAGAAAAATACGCATGAAGGAGACGGAACCTGAAGCCCCACCAGTATCACTTGTGGACCAACCTATAAGCAATTGTTATGAGACCTTCTTGAAAATTAGAAAGCAGGTTTGTATATGCCTTTCATTCTCTCTTTACCACCATTACTCTCATTCTTTTCTCTTCATATCCAAGTTTCATCAAAAACAAATTATAAAAGAGAGTGAGTGTGTCTGTTTGTTTACTTTTAATGATAATATCAAAAGCTACAACTTGATCCACATCTGTAACCCAGATTGAGCGAAGGAGAGAGAACCTGCGCCCAGTCCAGCCAAAACCTCCGCAAGGGTTCAAGGACTACCTAATGAACAGATGCTCGTATGTGCTAGCAGGGAATGCTTCATCAAGGCTATCTGTACCTGTGATCTCCCCTCCAGCATCCCTGTGCCAGTTACTGAAGGACCTCTTTAATGAACAGGAGAAGGAGCGGTATAGGCTAAGATTACAGGTGTGATTTGAGTCCCTTTTTGTTGGAAATAGTAGTATTGACCTATTAGAAGAAACAAGGAATGATATCAGTTCTTACCTGTGAATACCTGTAAATAATCCTCTAGCACAGGGTGAGGATAACTGTCCCAACTATATTTTATTCTACTTGTATTTTGAATTAAAGATAATTATTTTTTTTTGTAGCATCCTGCACAAACAAGCTCAACACAACTTAGTATGATCACCTTTTGCCTCAATATCTCATGAAACTTTCCTCCCACAGCATCTCATAGAGAAAGAAAAACTAGTGTTAAGTGTTGAGCAGGAGATTTTGCGTGTCCATGGAAGAGCAGCAAGAGCCTTAGCCAATCAAGCCCTTCCGTTCTCTGTTTGTACGTTTTTAAAGGATGAGGAGGTTAGTTTTTTATGTTTTTGTTAAGACTCATTTCTGATTATCTTTCCGTTAGTGTGTAATGAATTTCAGTTTGCATAATTAGAAGTCAAAGCACTTTCTGTTCATTCATTATCTTTTGGATTGCTAATAGACTATAAGATTTGTTTTGTATCCAAGAATTTTCTCCTGTAAGTGATTAGGTACAAATGTTGATTTCAGGTTTACAACATAATTTCCCCTGAGCAAGAAAAGGATGGTAATGCTCGCTCTAGGTATAATGGCCGACTCTTTCTTTCATGGCTACAAGATGTTGATGATAAGTGGGATAAAATTAAGGTAAGAAGCTTTCTTTGTCTGTGAAACCTGATGTTAATAATTAATTTCCTTAATTGAATTACTTCTCCTGGGGAAGTACTTGGATTTGTTGTAGCTAAAGTGCTGGTAAAGAGAGAGAGAGAGAGAGAGAGAGAGAGAGAGAGAGAGAGAGAGACGGCGATACGCGTGTAAACAAATTGCTCGAAAGCTGGCGTGCGGCCAAACCAGCCGGCGGCGCGCAAAAGCGCGGCGAGCCAGTGATTCGGGCTGACGCCCCGTACTCCGGCGCTCAAAGTCGGCGCGCCGCCTTTGTTTGCCAGAGCGTAGAGTTTTATTTTCCTTTTGTACACCCGGCGTCATTGGGTTAAATTCATATAAGCTTATATGTTGGAAATATAGATTTTCCTTGAATTGTTTCTCAGTATTTTTTTCTTGTTTGTTGTATTTATCTTTAAACAATCTAAAGAGACTTGTATTTTCGAGCCTTAATCCCTTAGTGGTGGTATTAGAAATCTCTCAATGCCATAGAGCGGGAGTTTGCTACATGTAGTGGAATTTCCCGCTTGATGCGCTCTAGTGCATGGCCACGCGTATAGCCTTATCTAGCAGATCAAGTGGTTTGTTATGATGGCTGTGCACGTGACCCAGCAGTAAAGGGTTAAGAGAAGCCACACTGTAGACTTACTAATGGAATGTGCCTGTTTTTTCCCCAAGGAAAACATGGTGCTGCGCCATCACAATGAGGCGGAATCACTCCATGCAGTGCAGAAGATGGACTGGGAGTGGAAGCTGAAGGAGCTGGGCGACCTGGATGCCAACACCAAACCGCAGATAGATGACCTGCACGTGCCCATGGTCCATGTCTCGGATGACTTTGACCTTCTCCCAGCCTGAGAGGTTGATGTGGATGAATCTGATGCAGTTTTTTTTAATTAATATTTTTGTCTACGTAAGGGGTATTTTTGAAGTCCCAAGGTGTGAGAGCTATAATTAGACTTCGTACTACGCTTCGTTGTGTAATGCCTTGCCTGTTCACACCACCTCAACCCCTGCGACTACTTTCGCAGCCCAGAGTAGTGGCGGCTTGGCTTTTTTTATAGATATTTTGCACATGAGGCAAAACATGGAAGTGATGAGGAGACATTCTGTGGCTGTGATATTTTCTTAGTTAAAACTTTTTGAACTTTCTGCTGGCTTGCAGATAGGTCACTTAAACAGAGGTAGAAGCCCTAAGCATATTTACCTTACTTTTCTTTTTTTTTCTTCTTTTTTTTTCTTTTTTTTTAGGATATATCTGTAAAATAGTGTTCAAATTGTCTGTCACACTTCATTGTCCTCTTCAATAGATCTTCCAATTACTCCCCTGCAGAAGGAGTTTGTATCAAGTCTGTGGACAGAGAAATGGGTCTGAATTTCTGTGATAGAATCTTTCTTTTCTTTTCTCTCTCGACTGTTTCTATCTTGGTTTCCTGGGCCCATTATTAGCCAGGAGAAACTGTCCCAAATTATGAATATTTCTTATGTAATCTACATAAGCTTCCACAGTGTTTAACGGTAAATGTACCTTGCTGTTTGTACCTTTCGCAAGAAAAATATAAAAATAAAAATGTTATGCATGGAATATAAATGTCAGATATCATATATTTGTCATGGAAGTGCACCATTTTCTGTTCAAAATGTAGATGTATTACATTTCCCATGTTCCCTATTTTTGAGGGAGCTGTTATTTCATCTGTGTCAGATTGCTGTTTGGGAATGATAGAAGGACATTACTAACCTCAGACAGTTCTTTTTGGTTCAGGCAACAAGATAATTACGTTGCCTGTATTGTTTTCTTTCAATAGTTCTGATTATGTCATACACAACATTAAATGGATTTGTGTGATCTGTCGGCATTTGGTGTGATGTTAGGATTGATATGTAACATGTCATGTATGAAGCCTGTCTGTTACCTAAAAGACTAACTTGCTCAATTTATTCTTTAAATGAGATTAACTCTTATTCCATTAAAAAGGGACTTATTATTTAAAACTAAACTTTGTGAAATGGAGATTGTATAATGTCATATATGGTGAAGAGTAAGAAATTATATTGTGATACATGTAATAATTGTTTGGTGTGTTGATAATGGAAGTATGAGGAACAAATTCAGTCACCCAATAATTATACAAATTTTAACACTTTGTTTTTCTTATCCTGAAACATCAATGTTTTTGTTGGAAATGTTAAAATCCACATAGTTATGCGACCCTGTTGTGTGTCCTAGATGGTAGCATTTAGTATTGTGAGAAGTCGAAACATGGCAAATGCATGCTCAGGTGTGGATCTACAGCAACCTGCACCTATAATTCACAAGACGCACACCACCCACCCAGTCCCATGCCTGTTGTGGGGGGCTTAGGAGATGGAGGCAGGCCCAGTGTTGGCAACCTCGACTATCTTGGGCCTCAGTCTTCGGCTCAAATAAAATTGCAATTTTTTCCTCTCCACCCACCCCCCCTTATCCCATGCTCATTTTTACCCTGATGGGGCTTACGAGGCAGAGTGTGAGGCCCAATGTAAGGATTACCCCCTACCTTGGACCTCAGCCCTTGCTTCAACTAATTTTGCAGGGTCCCTTTCTTCTCTCCCTTTCCTTTTTGCTGTGGCTGGGCACCACGGTGGGTAAGGACTTAGGCCGTGTCAGCACCAGCTGACACACTGATAGCGAGTCGACATTAGTCCGCACAGGCCGGGCTCCCCCATAGCCCGGGCGAGGCTCAGCTTCGCATATCGGACTTATCCTTAATAACCTTAAATGTTGACGCGGCAGAAATATTCCAATAAATAAAATCAATTTTCCTCCCCACCTTTTCTTTCCTTCCTCTTCTCCAATCCCTCCTGTAGCACTATAGAAAGGTGTGGCAGTGAAAAGACGGGGGTTGGGGGGTTGATGATTTGAGGTTACATGTCCGGCATATAGCAGTTCAGGAATTGGAAGAGAGAACGAGAGGGTGAGTAAATAGGCTGTGGGATTAACAAGGGTGATTAGATCAAAATTGTCAAAGGAAGGAATGTTGGATTCTGCAAGGGTATCCAAAAGGAGTGGTAGGCATTAGCAAAAGAAGAACTTTGTTTTAAGGACAATTAATAGAGAATCCACCTCTCCTCTTCATCCCCTTCTGTCCACTTATCCAAATCATTAACTCTTATATTTTTTGTTTATTTTGACCACCATTCTGAAAATCTACAAACATTGCTTTACTGAACCCAAGCCCAAGCCCCTTATCGCTATGTTTTGTTTACACCGCTAATGACCTTTAAGCCTCCGGGCTAGTACAATGGTAACGTGTCGGCCTCTCATCCGAGGGGTCGGCGGTTCGCAATTGTCGCCTGGAGGTTACTGCTGTGGCTGGGCACCACGGTGGGTAAGGACTTAGGCCGTGTCAGCACCAGCTGACACACTGATAGCGAGTCGACATTAGTCCGCACAGGCCGGGCTCCCCCATAGCCCGGGCGAGGCTCAGCTTCGCATATCGGACTTATCCTTAATAACCTTAAATGTTGATGCGGCAGAAATATTCCAATAAATAAAATCAATTTTCCTCCCCACCTTTTCTTTCCCTCCTCTTCTCCAATCCCTCCTGTAGTACTATAGAAAGGTGTGGCAGTGAAAAGACGGGGGTTGGGGTATTGATGATTTGAGGTTACATGTCCGGCATATAGCAGTTCAGGAATTGGAAGAGATAACGAGAGGGTGAGTAAATAGGCTGTGGGATTAACAAGGGTGATTAGATCAAAATTGTCAGAGGAAGGAATGTTGGATTCTGCAAGGGTATCCAAAAGGAGTGGTAGGCATTAGCAAAAGAAGAACGGGGGTTTAAGGACAATTAATAGAGAATCCAGGGAAGGGAGTCACATGTGTATCCAGGAGGAAGCAGAAGGGGAAAAAAGGGAAGTATGGTGGGTGATGTAGAAGCAGCAGTGGGGAATGGGAAGAAGAGTGAAAAAGGAACATGATTAGAATGGATGTTGGTAGTTATTTGAGTGGAGAGGGAATGGGAACAGAGATTGGGGATGGAGGTGTAGGCATGTTATCTTGGGTCACGGTTAGATAGGTCTGAACTTCCGAGAGAGTCTCTGAAGTGGAGTTGGTTGGGGAGGTCTGAAAAACGGAAGTAACCTGGGCACTATTGGTGGAAGACTCACGGCACCCTTTGCGAGGAGGGCATAGCATTGTGCCGATACGGCATTATAGTCAGTGAGGCAGCCGACTAAGTTTTCTCGACTGTCTGGCCAATCCTTGTAGACAGGGCTGGAGACCCAATGTAGGGAATCACCCGTACTTTGGACCTCAGCCCTCGCCTTAACTAATTCTGTCCACTTATTCTTTTTATCCTTCTCGCCACAATACTTTATCACAATGCTATATAACCTTCATAGCCTGCTGCATTTATTTGTTTTGACCTTTAACATTCTGGAAATCCACAAATATCGAGGTAGGGGAAATCCCTCTGAACACTGCTACTACTCCCCCTTCTCGATCGATGCCTGCTGTCAGCTCAGTCCATTCCAAAGCACCTACCCAGGTCATTACCCAACTTTCAGAATACATTCCTTCCTCTCTCAATATCCTCCATCCCCTTTCTTCATCCTGCAGTCTTCTTCATTTTAACTCCATCCTCCCTTATTACAACTCCCAAATCATCTGCCGCGTCAACATCTACGGTCATTAGCGGCGTATTCAAAACATAGCTATAGCGTGAGGCTTGAAAACATAGCCCCCATTTAAGGAAGGGATATATGACATAAAAGGTCATATGGGGGTATGGCAAAGTATAGTGGCGAAAAGGGTTAGGAATGAGTTAATGATTAGGGTGCAGTTGTAGGTTAAACAGTACTAGAGAGTAGTATAGCAGTGAAAAGGGTAGAGAGGGGGAACTGATGGTAACGTTTGTTAGCAGTAGGAATTAAGTAGGGAGCATTACGATAAAGTATTGAGGCGAAAACGGCAAAAATGAGTTAACGATAAGTGGACAGCACAAATGGGGAGGAAAGGGGGAGAAGTAAAGACCATGCAGAATACGATGAGGCGAGGGCGAGGACCAAACTCGTTCTTCAACTAATTCTACCTCTACAAAACCTTTAAGTACTCTTTTTAGCCCAGCCAAGTGGGATCGATACACCCCCCTCTCTTCCAACAATGTCTCCTAAAACATTTAGGCAAAATTTCCTTCCGCAGCTGTTCTGATCGTTCACGCCTTGTCTTAGTTACATCTGAGTCCGAAGCTCATGTGTTTTCTACCCTGACTGCTCTCTCTGGCACACCTATTTCTTTCTACCTTCACTTGAATGCCTACCTCGTCACCCACTGGCAGTCTTTCTGATCTAGTCAGATCTAGTCATACCATAAAACTTTCCATCTCCCCTTGGTCAGTCCCATCCCATCAGAATAGACGCAGGGAAACTGCCTTTGCCCAATTACGCACTGGTCACAGTCGTCTCACACATACCTATTTCATGTCACGATCTGATCCACCTCATGCTGTGTCTTCTTTCAGTCTTCTTTCCACGTACTCTACTATCCCCGCCGTGCAGTAACCCGTACCTCTGCTTATCCTCCCTTGTTCTCACTTCCCCGACCCTCGGACATTCGGAATTCTATACCTTTTCCTTTGACAATTTGTTCTCCTTCCTCAGGCTATAAATATCTTCCATTTGGTCTAATCGCCCTTCGCCCGAAACTCCTTTACCCTTTTAACAACCCTTACCTTATACTATACCGCATCAGCCCCCCCTACTCCTTTTCACTACCATAATCTCCTATATTGCTGTTCAGCTTTTAACTTCTTACACATTTACCCTAAACAACTCATTTCTACCATTTACACTTATATGACCTCGATGTCTAGCACATTTATTTGTTTCAACCATTATCCATTAACCTATTCCTGCACAGCCTCACTCCTCCCTTAACGCCTTGTCATATTTACAAGCTAATCCATTATTTACCCTAACTGCCTCATTGGCAATGCTACGTCTGCCCAGCCTCACACCTAATTTATTCTAACCTAAACTTTTACCGGAACTGTTTCATCTTACAAGGTTTGGTCAGACTGTGAAAACGATCTGCTTGCCTACCTCGTTGCAACATCAGAACAGTGCTACACTATTCCCCGCTGAAGTTGCCGTAAGTCCTACGTATATCGGTGGAGAATCCTCCCCTGTTCGACCATATTAACCCCTTCCCCGTCATTGTCAGAAATGTTGGCGTTTTGGTAACCCAGCCAAGCACTGTCGCTTCACAGCCCGCAGCCCAAGCTGGTCATGACCGTTCAAAATGCCCTGCATAATCACATACATGTGCTAATTCATGGTGGCTCCCATAATGTATTTTGTAGGAGCTGCCCTGTCTATTGAGTTCGAACCTGAGGTAGTAGTTGTCAGACTCTAAATTGGTCTTACTCTACGCAAAGCCAGACAAAAAGCACTCCAACGAGGTTTTTCTCCATATTCCATTCCATTAACCTATTCCTGCACAGCCTCACTCCTCCCTTAACGCCTTGTCATATTTACAAGCTAATCCATTATTTACCCTAACTGCCTCATTGGCAATGCTACGTCTGCCCAGCCTCACACCTAATTTATTCTAACCTAAACTTTTACCGGAACTGTTTCATCTTACAAGGTTTGGTCAGACTGTGAAAACGATCTGCTTGCCTACCTCGTTGCAACATCAGAACAGTGCTACACTATTCCCCGCTGAAGTTGCCGTAAGTCCTACGTATATCGGTGGAGAATCCTCCCCTGTTCGACCATATTAACCCCTTCCCCGTCATTGTCAGAAATGTTGGCGTTTTGGTAACCCAGCCAAGCACTGTCGCTCCACAGCCCGCAGCCCAAGCTGGTCATGACCGTTCAAAATGCCCTGCATAATCACATACATGTGCTAATTCATGGTGGCTCCCATAATGTATTTTGTAGGAGCTGCCCTGTCTATTGAGTTCGAACCTGAGGTAGTAGTTGTCAGACTCTAAATTGGTTTTACTCTACGCAAAGCCAGACAAAAAGCACTCCAACGAGGTTTTTCTCCATATTCCAATGCCGCCCTTCGCTCCGCCCCTCTCCCTTCCCAAGATGCCTCTGCATCTCCCCCAGTATTCCTCCCCCCTACCCCTTACCATTCAACCTCTACCCCC